TATTTTATATATTTTTTCTTTCTTTCTCTTGCTAGCAGATTCAGGAATAAAATATGATGAATATAAAGAATTGTAAAGTAAGAGTGAATGACAATGATCTAGAAGAAACTTGTACTCTTGGTCAATCTTCATTTTGATGAATAATAAAATAAATTCGATGAGCTACAGTTCATCATACTTTAATATATGTTTAATACAACTTTAATCAGAAACTTTTGGCACATGCATGGGCAGACATAGCAAAAAGCGTCATACATTTTGATTTCATAGCTCACAATTTTGAATTAATAAATATGTTTGAATTACCAGAATTTTAATTTGTCATTCCTAACATTTCATCTTTTTTTCCTCCTGGCTCAATGGTGACTCCATATCAACGTAGATATGTTCTGACCCCATGTTATATGTAACTGTAGCTTACAACTTTTTATTTTGCATCTAATATGTAAATTTTTGTAAGTTTAAATAGAAAAAAATGTCCCAGGATCTCCCAGGATTTAATTTGTCGTGTCTTTTTAATATCAATTCTAAGATCAAATTCTCACCATTTAGCAACAGACAAAACAGATTAGTATGTATTTATGTGATTGTTTACAAAGGAGGTAAATCAGAAACTACCATCACAATTACACATTGCAAATAATATTAGATATGCATTTGGATGTGTTATTTAGTGGCTTCTTCTGTTCTGGAGTGTGTAAATCACCCCCTTCTCTCTGAATTTGTATTGTTGCCTACAGGCCGTAGGTGGAAGGTGCCTGCTCTTAGGACAAAGAGATTTGAGGTTTCCTTCGTCCCTTCAGCCATTCAATTGTTGAATAGCAGATAGTCTGTAAACTGTTTATGTGCTCATATGTCTATTTGCACACATTGCTCAGGCTGCTGAAATCTGCACTTTGCATTAGCACTTTGCACTTTGATGCTTTGATTGTTTTCCTATTAATCTTCATTTATTTTATTTTTAAGCCTCCTAGAATCTGCCCATTATGTCATGTTATGTGTTGTTGTCCATCAGTGTTTTGTATGTTGTATGTTTTGTGTATTTTCCTGGCTGCAAACCAATTTCACTGAAAGGGACAATAAAGATACTTTGACTCTGACTTTGATTGTGTTGTGTAGTGTGAATGTATGTTTTGTATTGTCGCTATGTAACTGTGTAGACTCCAGGGAGAATATCTGATGCAATGAAAATGCTAATGGGGATCTTAATAAACGTGGAAACAAAACAATCTAATTAGATGGTGTTTAAAATATTACACAGCACTTACAAATCTTATTTTGACTGAATATAACCTCCAAACATGTTTTTTTAAATAGAATAAACTTTAAACTCTTCGCAATACTCTTCCCTCTATGTTTGGTACAAACTTTCCAAACAGCACGTGGCCATTCATTTATATAGATTTTCAAATATGGGTACACAAAAAGACACTGTCAAAAGTTGAACTGTCACGTTTTTCTAGATTTGAACAGGCGCACAAATCTGTTAATAACACTCATCAAATTAAGCCTCTCCTCTGCAGTGAAGCAGGCTTATAAACAGATTATTGCACTGACGTCATATTCCCAGAGCTGGAGGTCACTTGTCCACATGCAGCACTGGTGGACAAAGAGAAAATTCTAGCTCACTGCATCAATGGATGTGCTGTGGTCGGCAACACTGTTTACACTGCTTTGTTATGTAGTAAACCAGTATGATATCTAACAAACACATGCAGTACACATGGTCTGACACAGTTTCTGGGGTGACTTTGTAGCAATGTGAGGAAATGTGTTGATTAAATTTAGGATTTAAGAGAATAAATCAACCAGTCAGTGTTTTTTTTGTTCCTTTGTTTTATTGCTCAGCAGTAAAAAGTACAGTGTATACTACAGTACAAAAAATACATAATGTTGAACACTGCTCCACCGTGCCACTGAACGTTTTGTAAAATATCCACTTTTGAGCGTGCAAAACAAGAAGCCCAGCTGTGAGCATCCAATGCAGGAAATATCAATATGTTTAACCATGTCGTTCAGCATCACCTTTTGGACCAGTGATCTCTGAACAACATCTCACAATGCAGAAAATCTTTAGCGACGATAGAGGCAGGCAGCATTGAATATTGAATAAAACCGCAGCGATGCAAAATAAAAACAGATGATAGAAGGACCACAGGTTCAATAATTAAACAAAATATTCAAACGCTCTTTTTTTTGTATGTAATTAAACTGCCTCTGTATGTGCTCACAGTAAATATTCAGCATACATTATTTATCTCAGTGTTTTTATTGGTCAAGATTTTTGACAGCCTCTAACACATATTATGTGGTCCAGTAACTAATTCACAATCATTCAACATTTCAACAAACACGGTTTGCATTGATGGACAAACACATTATTTATGGAGGGAGACATTTACAGTAGCAAGGTTGGTCTACATGTTTCCTACAGCGCTGAGAAACTCCTTCTCAAACTGGGCTATAACCAGTAGCCACTCCACGATACAGACAAACAGACAGACAGACAGACAGACGCACAGATAAAACTGAGCTGAACGTGACACAAAGTTGTGTCTGACTTAAAATAACAGTGATATTTGGTTAAGGGGGGGGCAGCACATTGAATTCATCTGACCACACTCACACAGTATGCTTACATGCACAAACAGGGCATTCACACACACACATACTGATATATATAGATATATATAAAGGGCCAACATAAGGAATTAAGACATCTATGTGGTCCCTCTTAAGAGAAGCTGGTGACACATGAGGGGGGAAAGCCATTTTAGGCCAGTTTCCTGTGATGAACATCTCTTTAATCGCTGCTCGATGCCGACCCCAAAAGCAACCAAATATTCTGCTCAAAATAACCATCAAAACCTGGGCCCGGATTTATCAAACTGCTGATTGATTTTTGGACTTTGCCACAGTACAAATCCTTCATGTTTACTTGCAAACTTAGGCATAAAAGCTATTAATCATTTACTGTAACGATGTTCCAACATTTTAAAAGAACGCCAGAGGTAACAGCCGTGCAAACAACAAGAACAAAGCTGACATTGTGTTTGCTATCAATTTCCATGCATCTTTATGGTCTGAGTTTGTTGTCAGTTACAATTCCTCTGATGTCTTACAGCAGCAGAATGTCTTTCCTGCTTTTTGCATCCATGTCATCCAATTTCCTGTAATTTAATTCCTATTTAATATATATATATATATATATATATATGTAACCTTTTTTTATAGCCACTTTAAATGCTTGACTTTGTTTAGCTCTATTGTGTTTGTTTTCTTGTTTTTGTTTTCTCACATAACTCATCAAGTAAAGTTTTTTTAGGTATCTCAGGAAGCACTGCACTCTGTCTATTCAGGACATGCTCTTAAAGGGACAGTTCACCCTCAAATCAAAAATACATATTTTACCTCCTCTGTGTGGTGCTATTTATCAGTCTAGATTGTTTTGGTGCGAGTTGCAGAGTTTTGGTGATATCAGCCATAGAGATGTCTGCCTTCTCTCCAATATAATGGAACTAGATGGCACTCAGCTTATGGTGCTCAGGGCGCCCCCATTTTTTTTTTTTTTAAACCTAGCAGCAATGTCTCTTTCCAGACATCATGAGCTGGTTGCTCAAGATAATCTACAGATTTTGTTGTGAGCAGTTTTATGTAAAAAAACTATTTTCTTTCAACCGAACTACAACTGCCAAACATATGCACATACAATCACTTGCACTAGATGTGCTCCTTTATCCACTGCTCATTTTCATTCACTGCTACTCATTATTATTATTATTATTATTATTATTATTGTTACTTATTGCCGTGTCTTGTATTTTTGTACTTATTTTGCATGCCTAGTTTTAAAGTTTTAAGTTTTTAAGTTTAATTTTTGAAATCTTTAATCTGACTCTTTCCCCTTGACTGCTGTAACACTGGAATTTCTCAATTATGGGATCAATAAAGGTGTATCTTATCTTACCATGCAGGAGGAAGCATGCACTTACTAATGGAGGAGAGGCTTGTGACAGCACGAGATGTAAACACTTATGGCATCCTCCTCGGCTGAGCTGTTACATTAGCTATCTCAGTGGTGCTAGTGAGCTAGCAGTAGATGCATGCTTCCATTTGCATGGTGAAACAGTTGGCGGGTGTAGTTCAGTAGAGAGAAAATAGTTCCTACATGAAACTGCTCACAACAAGGTCTGTGGATTATCTTGATTAACCAGGTCATGATTTCTGGAAAGAGACATTGCTGTTAAGTTTCTCAAATGTATTTTTGGCGCTTTGAGCACCACAAGCCGAGTGCCATCTAGTTCCATTATATTGGAGAGAAGGCAGACATCTCTATGGCCGATATCTCCAGCACTCTGCAATTCACACTAAAACAATCTAGACTGATAAACAACTCTAAAGGTAAGGAGACAAATGTGTATTTTTGATTTTTGGGGTGAAGTGTTCCTTTAAGGGCTTGTTTATGCTTAACGTTTGATATGTATACAGACACAGTTGGAGCATTCTGTCTGTATTCTGCCTTCATTTTGTCCATTTATGCCAACATAAAGGACGCATGGAAGTATGAGGGCAGTGACGTTTACAAAGTTTGAAACAGGCCTATCTATTTTCACACACAAAGGGAGTATAAATAAGGCCTAAAGGTTACTCCTACACTTAGCTGTAAGCTGTTTGCTTAATAAATGTGTCTCATTCTTCACTTTCAGCAGACTTTTTTTTTGCATTCTTAAGTGTACTTCTCAGTTTGATAAATATGGGCCCTGATCTCACACACAGTGTCCCTGTTTCCCCCCCATGAACATATAGGTGCTATATTCAAGTTCAACAGGCTATAAGTATTTTGGGATTGATTTTAAAGGAAAATAAAATTACAAAGAACAGCTTTAATGTTTTTTTTTTCATAGCACGTTTCTCTCTCTAAAGCAGTTTTCATGTGGCAACATCCACAGTGCACTCACCATCAAGCCACCGTAATGAAACAAAACCACATATACTCTGTATTTTATAAAGACAATAAAAACCTTTTATCACAATTAAGCCTTTTGTAGAAAATGTACATCAGAAAAATATGCAGGTGCATCCTCATAGTAAATAGTGTCTGTTTACATCATCTCTTCTTTCAGGTTGTTTTTTGTCATATACAGTATAAAGTCTCTGAATATTTACCACATTTATAAAATAGACAACAACAGCAGGGGGAGTAGAAGAGGAGAATCAGACAGTGTCTCTTTTTTTTCCTGTCTCTAGATGGCAGAAGCTTTGTCCCTGTTGATGAAGAGGGTCTCCTGGCAGAAAGGGTTAACCAGGACCACGCTGCTGCCGCTGTAGTCTCCATTAGGGGGTAGACAGGTGTCATGATCCTGCAAATACACACGCAGGAAAAAAACAGTAAAGGGAAAGCAGTGATTCATGATTCAGGGCTCACCATTAAGGCGACACGCTGCAGTCTACTGTGTCTAAGTCTCTCTACGGGCAATAAGCACTAGTGTGGGAGCGCACAGAATTAAATATGGGTTTGGTGCACCCTGGGGCTTTTAAGAAGATGGTGAACAAAGATATCTGACAAAGCTACATGAGCAGAGATAGAAAAGGAGGCGGAGGGGAAGATGTAAAAGGGAGGGATGATGTAGAAATGCTTGTTGATGGTGAGTCAGCAGTAATAAGGCAGTGCTGGAGGAGGGAGGTGTGAAAATCTAAATGATTTGTATTATGAGGCCATTTTATCAGCGAGATCCGATCAAATCAAACTAACGCTGTCATTTCGGGGTTTGTGATCATTTCGCCTGGAACACTGTCATTTACCTAAAGCATCAGGAGAAGCTACGGCTGCTGATCTATAGAGACAGGTAAAACAGGGAGGGAAACAACACCTGGGTGTCACCAGGGGCATCCCACACATGATCCAACCTCAGCTTCCCTCTCCTGACGCCCCACAGGCAGAATGCAAATACATCAATGGATGAGGAATAAAAGAAAGGAGACACACAGTGAAAAACTCACTGGAAAGAAACTGATGAAAAAACATGCAAACATAACAAAACACTAGTCCCTCAAATGAAATGTGGAGGAAGATGAGGCAGAGGGCACATTTAGTCCTAACTGAACAATGACACCAGTGTTATACAGCACCACTTCCACCAGATGGAGCTGTAATGCACTAAAAACTGAGCTGATGCACCTGATCCAAAACGTATCTGGTTATTTTTCTCAGTATGAAAGAGACCAAATATAATTAGAAAATTGGCAGAAATAAACGGGGGCTGAACGAAAAAAAAAAAAAATCAAATGATTCATGGAAATGATCTGAAGTTGCATATTCACATTCTCAACTACAAAAACAGCCAATTAGCAGCATGTCAACAGATTTATATGAGTTTTCAAACTAACATGAGACCAAAGACCTTCTTCAGGAAGTCTAACTATAAGCTGGAAAACTTTACAAAAGCTCAACATCCAGATTATTAATATTGGTGCTGGACATAAGAACATGTCAAAGTCTGCACATTAAACAAAGCTCCCATAAAAAATGACCACCAAGCGACAGCTCAAGCATCAAGCTCTTCTTTAGAATTGGTGGAAATTTATATATGTTCATGGGAACATGATCTAATCCCTGGACTCTATTTCTCCATATAACTATAGGTTGAATAATTAAATATGAACTCAGAAATCCTAACAATATAGAGCATGCCAAACACAGAAAAACATAAGCAGTGTTAACTGGAATGTGATGTTACTTTATAGCCTTTGTATTTAAAAGCTGTGCCTAAAACACCCTCAGCAGAATATTCTTGACAAACTGACTAATGATCTATTATTCTAATCATCACCATAAGGTCCAAGTTTCTACTGCAGAACATTACTTGCTAAAGTAATTTTTTTTGACCTGCCACTGACCAAACTCTGTACAGTTTGAATGTCAAATAAATAAATAAATAAATAAATAAAAAAGATCACTTTGTAGTTATTAATTTAACTGCTCAATTATATTTTCTTTAATTTTATCTAACATTATGGTCTAAATATTATTTTAAGCCTTCTCTCTACACTGCCTGGTATGCAGTTCTGGTGGAAAATACTAAATCCTGAAAGATTTTTGCCCCAAACATTGAAAATTTTAAAATATGTAGTCAAAAAATCCAATCCAACTGTGTAGAATGTGTGTAATCACATAATGTCTCCACCTCTTGATATCATAAAACCCTTCAAATTCCCTGAAATATTACAGAGGACATGACCCATGTGTCCTAATTGGTAGCTACCTGTTAAACACTTAAAGCTCTTTTATCAACTTGTCACAAGTTGTATGGAAGCCCATTTTCACCAATGTAATGAAAAAAATAAAAATCCTGCAAGTCATTATAATGAGAAATGTTCTCAAAATAATAACATATTTATCTCAAAATAATGAGAAACTTTCTCAAAATAATGACTTAGTATTCTTCCTCATTATTTTGGATACAAAGTTATTACTTTGCTAACATTTCTCATTATTTTGAAATATTAAGTCATTATTTTGCTAAAGTTTCTCATTATTTTGGATACAAAGTCATTATTTTGCTAAAGTTTCTCATTATTTTGAGATACAAAGTCATTATTTTGCTAAACTTTCTCATTATTTTGAGATACAAAGTCATAATTTTGCTAACGTTTATTTTGGATACAAAGTCATTATTTTGCTAAAGTTTCTCATTATTTTGAGATACAAAGTCATTATTTTGCTAACGTTTATCATTATTTTGAGATAGAAAGTCATAATTTTGCTAACGTTTATCATTATTTTGGATACAAAGTCATTATTTTGCTAATGTTTCTCATTATTTTAAGATACAAAGTCATAATTTTGCTTTTGCTAACGTTTCTCATTATTTTGAGATACAAAGTCATTTTGCAAACGTTTCTCATTATTTTGAGATGTTAAGTCATTATTTTGCTAAAGTTTCTCATTATTTTGAGATACAAAGTCATTATTTTGCTAAAGTTTCTCATTATTTTGAGACACTAGGTCATTATTTCGAGAAAGTTTCTCATTATTTTGAGATACAAAGTCATTTTGCTAAAGTTTCTCATTATTTTGAGACACTAGGTCATTATTTCGAGAAAGTTTCTCATTACAATGGTTTTCTTTTGTCACACAGAGGCTGAAAGGGGCTTCAATACAGTTGGTATAAGGTTTAAAAAGTGTGCTTGTAAATTAAATTGAATTGTTTTCCCTTACTGTTTTAATTCAGCAACATTACACATTCGTAATAAGAGTACACTGGTGTACTGATAGGCCAATACTTTCATATCCCTTTACTAGATGTGAAAAACGAACTCCTAACAAGTGATTTTAATAGATTCCCTGCAGGGAAATTCTCTTTTTGCTTGTTCCAAAAAGCATCTCTGTAAATCGTAGTAATACAGTGTCATGCTTCAGCAGGCCTCGGGGCTTGCTGACAGGGGAGATTGAACATGGATCCTCTCGTTGTTTCCATACTCATTAAAACCATTCTGCTGACTGATAGTGAAACATCAAGTAAATGTCCCTCCACTTCTGTGTGCAGTGCTGTGCACTAATAGAGTCAGTGTGCCAGTGGTTCATACCTCACTCTCCAGAGTGTGTATCTCTCTGGGCAGCTCCACAGCGTGTCTGCTGAAGTAGTCCATGGTGATGGCGTTGTTCCAGTAGCTGAGGTTGTTCTCTTGACTTGACGACTTCTTCTTCCTCTTCATACAGCACACAGTCAAAAGCACAGCTAGAGCGGGCAGAGACAGGGAGGGAAAATGAGGGGTTAGTACAGAGACTGGAAGAGCTGCTGCTTCAAATAGCCTCTGAAAGCGCCCACACAAGCTGCTCAGGTAGAGGCTGTCATGTTCCACAACAACATGCCACTGTTACAAGAAAAATACCATCTTGAAACATTGTTTGAGATGGCGATTCATGGTGTGCCTTGTAGTCATTTAGAGCTATCTAAAACAATAAAACTGTCAGCAGTCTCTCAGCAGGAAATCACACAACAAAATAATTTATTATGAAAGGGGAAGAAATCCTTATTTCTCTGTCTCCAACAGAATGCAAAAAAAAATGTGTTTTGCTTAAGGTGCAACTCTACTACTCTATGATAAATACTCTCTTGTCCTTGCTGTTGTTATGCTATTGCGCTCTCTCCAACTTAATACAACAAGATGAAGCCCTGAAGGTTGTCTGGAGGCTGTTAAAAGGTATTCGGAGAAATGAGGGAGATCACTTTCTGAAGCCAGTGTAAACCAGGAACATTGAAGAAAAGTAAATGTGAAATAAATAAATTACAGTGATTTATTACAAAATACCTCTACTGTGACCTTGGGTGAAAGTTTCCTAAATGTTCTAATGCATAGGATTTCGGGGGATATATTGGCAGAAATGGAATATAATATAGTAAGTATGTTTTCTTTAGTGTATAGTCAAATGAAAATAGGAAATCGTGTTTTTGTTACCTTAGAATGAGCTGTTTGTATCTACATAGGGAGCGGGTCCTCATCCACACAGTCGTGTTGCACTGCCATGTTTCTACAGTATCCCAGAACTGTCAAACTGAACGCTAGAGCTTTATAGGGCTATTCGCATTTTTGCGTCCTTCACCATAATTAACAGCCCTGGGAAGACCCGAACAGAGTCAGAGAACTTCTTTTGTGAAATCACCTGGTCCATTTGTTTTGGAGAGGAACGGACCTCTGCGGATAATTCAGCTCCTGGTAAAAATGTCCTAAACAATAAACAAATCCTAACTGGGAGTTCATGCTTAGCACATGGGTGAAGTTTCAGCTGGTTGCAATCTGCAGTCATCACCACTAGATGTCACTAAATGCTACACACTACTCCTTTAAAGGTCTAGTGTGTGGGATTTAGTGGCATCTAGCAGTGAGGCTGCAGATTGTTACCAACTTGAAACTTCTCCCGTGTGCCAATCGTGTAGGAAAACTGGCCCTATCTAGAGCCAATGTTTGGTTTGACTGCTCTGGGCTACTGTAAAACATGGCAGACTCCATGGAAAAGGCCTTCGCCATATGTAGAGACAAATGCCTCATCCTTAGGTAACAAAAACACAATAATAATTAGTTTCAGGCGACTATTCATGAATGAAAGATCATTGCTTGCACAACACTGTGTATATCGATCTAAAATGAAAACCGTATTAGCTCGAACATTCATTCTTTTGCTGCAGAAAGCTAAGGCTTCTGTACTCTGGGTCATCACATTGTACTCTCTTAATGATGTCATTACGTTACCTTAACTTATATGTGATGCAAAACTGAAAAAGTGAAGGAATAAATGATGAGTCTGGTGAAACTAGTGCCTTTACACTCTGCTGATTAAATAAGCATATCTCAAAAACTCAACAATATGTACGGTTCAAATAAGTTATGGAGTGTTGAGAAATGTTTTGCTCATGTTTTTACATTTAGCAATCTTTGTGATTAAAATGATTTGCGTGTTTATTTTGTAAAATTTGATTTAAAAAAAAACATCTATTTTTTTCTGTTTTTTAAATTCATAACACAATTTCAATATTTTTATCAATTATTGTGGTTTATTGACTTAGAAAACCTTTTAGTTTGGGTTGTGCAGATTTTAGGGATTTGAACCATTTGAAGATACTCCAAGATATGACATCACAATGGGCAAAAATACCAGTGTAGGCATTGGTGGACCATTGCTAGTGCAGGTCTAGATGGGTTTTAAAGGAAGCATTTGACATTTTGGGAAATACTTTGCTTTCTGTCAGAGAGAAACATGAGGGGGCGTTGGCTTAGTGGATAGTGCTGGCGCCCCATGTATAGAGGCAATGCCTTGCTGCAGCGGTCGCGAGTTAGACTCCGGCTTGCAACCCTCCGGCTTGCAACCCTCCCACTCTCTCTGTCTCCCCATTTCACACTGTCCTGTACATTAAAGGCACCCCCCTCCCACCCCAAAAAAAAAGATCTAAAAAAAAGAGAGCAACATGAGAAGATTAATAACACTCTCAGATGTCAGAGTAGTATGGATTTTCTCTCTGCACTAAAGCAAATGAGCCAGCTTATCAAAATGTACAACTAATCCTTAAAATAGATATTTTTTTTTATGATAGTAACATTAATAGGTTTTAACTCAAGGTCAGCCAAACTCATTACATTCATTAATTTCAAGCTGCTCTAAAATTACTCACAGCATGACGACACAGGCACACTGATGGCCAGCACGATCCACACAATGTCCATCTTGCTCAAGCAGATGGTCATGCGGGACGACGGGGAGTCAACGGTGGGGCCTGAGCTGTTGCCAGGCGTCCAGGGGTCCTGGGTAGTGGCAGGCACCTGCCGGATCAGGAAGTTCCCGCTGGCTGTGGAGGCGGGCTCTGAGATGTTCCCCTGACCTGGTGTGTCCTCGACTGAGCTGCCGTTAGATACCATCCCTCCAAGTGCAGTCACATTCCCCAACGTTTGTGCCACAGGGGCACTGTCTGTGCCATTACCTTGCACCACCTGACCAAGAGTTTCCTCAGTGGTGGTCTTGTTGGATGCAGTGTAGTTGTCTGGGATAACTGTAGGATTCTGTGTGTTGAGGCCGAGCACAGTGGACAGCGCTGGAGTGGACGCGGCGGAAGTTAGATTCTCGGGCGGGCTCTGGACTGGAGTGACAGACCCTTCCTTCGGCTCTAGCACCAGTTCATGAGTGGGGGGCTCACTCACTCCGTGCACCTCCCTCAGGGTGATGGCATGGTGTGCAGCCAGCTCTGGGGCGCCCCGAGCATGCTCCCTGAGTTTCAGGCCTGCTGCAGGATCAGCATTCATCGATGAAGAGGAAAAAGAGAGGCGCTCATGATCTGGAACATGCTTCGAGCCAGAGTCGACACGTTCCTCCACACTCAGCTTCTGAGGCTCTATGTGGTGTGCAGCAAGCGTGTCTCCTCTGTTTGATCCAGAGCTGGACAGAGGAGCTGGGGGGTTTGGAGCTCCTCTGGCAGTAGATTCCACATCTATATTTGGGACCGCTGTGCTGGGAGATGTAGGGCTGCTGCTGCTGCTGGCCTGGTTAGTGCTGACAGTAACTGGGTTATAGACTTGAGGTACCCTGACCAATTTGTGCATGTGGCCTTGGTTTACATTATCAGAGCTCAGCTCCGGGGGCTGATTCACATGAATGCTCACAGTGTTTGGGGTCACGCCATGGACTGGAGAGTCGTCATAAGCCAGGCTGGAAGATTGGGTCGTGTGAAGCAAGGCCAGAGGGTGGAGGGCGACAGTCGGGAGGATGATGCTTGAGGCCTGGGTGCCTCCTTTGGATGACCATTCTCCGCTGCTGGAGCCTTCCTGATGCCAGTCGTGTGGGGGAGGTTTGGGTGCAGAGAGGGGGCTGCTGTGGGCGGCTGCCATGGAGACAGAGTCCTGGGATGTCTGGCTGAGATACGGCTCCTGTGCTGATGACACCAGTCCTACTGGCAGTGCTAGGAATGCTAGAACACCTGTAGAGAAAGAGATGGACAGTCCATGATTAGCACATAATGATGCAGAATGTCATTTTAGCTTCATGCTTTATTGGATTATTTCTCTGTATGTGTGTATTTTCAGCAACTTTAAATCATTGCTCTCGAGGATCCTACAAAGCAAAGCTAGAAACCGACTGTTCAAAGAGACGTGTAGCCTTGTCTCGCATTCATTATGTGTCTCAGCCTTTAATCTACTGAACCGCTGTGTTTAGTTTAACTAGGTGAGCGCTTTATTAACTGCATTATTCACTAGACGAGTTGCACTGTCTGTACCCGTGCATGCACCAATGGCTTTGTTACTCTGCAGAAATTCTTAAAGGGCTCACTCTTTACCGAGGTTTTAAAATAACAAGCAATTATTTGATTCCAATCTCTACGTAACACTGAAAAAAGTACCTTAGTGGCACAGTTCATACATTTCCAATGCAGTTTGACTTGTTTTAATCATTTCCAGTATTTTAGAATAAGATGTCTTGATGGATCGATGGAAAATGCATTTGCAGCCAGTGAAATTGTCACTTGCTTCATGCTCAACACCAGACAAAATGACTTGTACAGATATTTTTACAGTGGACAGATTCATGACAGTCATAGTGTCAAAATAGGCCACTTAACATGCTAAAACCATCTCAGAGAAGCTGACAGATTCACTTTCTCAGGCTCAATCCCATAAGGAGGCTGTGTAGTGACAAGCCATTAGCAGGTGCCTGTGGGGAATATTGGTCCTATTATGTTATCCAGACATAAAGTCATAGAGGGAGAGACGTGCAAAGGCTTATTAATTTCCCCTTTGCTCCCTCCCTTTCATCCCTTATTGACACTGTTAAACACAGCTAATGTGAGACATTAGTGGAGCTCCCACAGGGCCGTTTCTATGTGTTCAGCTGAGAACAGAACATGCAGTAAGACGGAGCTAATATTAAATAAATCCTTGTCTGAATTAGGGTTATGTAGCATGTTGTTGCAGATGGTGTGAGAATGAATTTTCAACAAACTCCATGAAAAGAATCCAACAATCCCTTATGTTGTCTCAATAATTTTCAACTTCCAAACCTGTCTGTGGCACTCGTGCATTCATTCCTGCTGAAGATGAAAATTTAAAGGCTCAGAAATTTCCTAAAACAGATATTTTTCAGCAAACTTTACCCTAACAGCAATAAATAGTGCATTTGCTGGGGACTATTTTCAGATATGGAGTCAAAACATATTTGGTTTGCTACTGAGTGTCTATGGCTGCAGGACAGTGTACATGAGAGTGACTAAAACAGGGTGCCTACAGGTACCAGACACTTACATTTAAAGCTTTTTAAGACCTTTTCAAGATAATTTCAACAAAACTTAAGATTGTTTTTTTAACAAATCCTTAAGTAAGTATAGCCTAAAGGTTAGCAGTATGTAGTCCAGTGCAGAAGTAGGTTTGTGCAAGTATAAAGTAAAAAGACAGTATTAGGTTCATAGTTCAAATTTTTTTAGGTGGGGTTGTGTGAGGTTCTTATCCACAGTCAGTGTATTACCTACAGCAGATGGTGGACATGCCCCCAGTTTGGAGAAGCAGACAGCAGTACCACCACGAAAGCTAAGCAATGGACTGCTGTAGATGAGGGCAGCAGGAAAACATAAACATAAACTACTTAAAAAAAAACAAAACAGTAAAACAGTAAAAATGTACGCTATATTAAGAATATTCTCACTGCTTTACCTTGCCACAGACAGCCCTTTCTGACAGGGAAACCGTTAATGGCTCATGCATGGTCTTGTCAAAGCCACCAGACTCAATTGACAAAAACGGTAATTCTAGCCTGCTGAACACAGGAGCTGCTGGTCTGTTGCTGCCTCGACCATTTAGTTTGTTTGTGTTATTGTGTGAGACTGGTGAATCCGAACTAATCCCTTTAATCACCAAAGTCACACAATAACACAAACAAACTGGCAGTGATAGACCAGCACCTCTTGTGTTAAGCCAGGGTAAATTACTGTTTTTCTCAGTGGAGTCTGGCTTTGAAGAGAGCAATTTTACAGCTTCAGTTCCTCATCGAAAATAAATCTCTGGTGGCAAAATAAAACAGTGACTTTTTTGAGTGGCTAAAATACATGTTGTTGCTGCCCCCATCCACTTTGGATTTTTACTGCAACGTCATTGTAACAGCGTCTTGGAAGCCCATGAGGGTTGGGCACATGTAAGTGTGCCTGACACAAAGTAAAAAAATCAATCCACCCACAGCAGTACATTGCTTAGGTTTCTTTCAATGGAAGGTCTGTGACACAGACGAGAAAGAGATATCGGGCTTTGGATGCTCAGATTTTTTAGAAGGATCTATTCATTGTTGTTCGGCTCGTTACATGGGAACTGTATTGTTTCATAAAAATTTTGAAAAGCAAGAGTGATAGAAAAAAACACAGAATGTAAAGCCACCACTGTGACCTACATGTCGTGGCCATCGTTTAACTATGGTGCTCAGTAACTATGGAAACCAAGTTTCAATTACCAAGAGGGGAAGAGGAGAAGGAGATTCGAGAATAGGTGAGAGAAGAAATCTGTTGAACGTGTTGAAAGAAAAGGGACAGAGTGGGACAGAATATTTCAGAAAATGGTGAATTTTAAAAAACCAACAAGCCCGGGCAAGTCAATATCAGACATCTCAAATTTATTTGACAGAGAAAGCTTTTCCACCCTCTTTCCTCTTTGTTCACCAGGGGATTTAAAATACACCACAGCAGAACCCCAAAGCACTGACTATTTAAACTGAGCCTCTGAATCATTAATCATATTCCTCCATACTCAATCACACAGACTACCAGGATAGAGGGTCCAGGCCCTGTCTTCCATTAACCAAGCCTGTCACGTCTCTAATCCACGGAGCCCACTCCAGACTCATATCTGAGGAGATAACACACATGGCCATCCTTGATTTATGACTGCTTGTCTCTCCTAAGATGATCCTTTAGGCAGGGAAATGGAACACAGATAAACCCAAGCTATCAAAGCTTAAGTATCTGGACTATTGTGGATTGTCTGTTATGTGAATGGTGGTCACATTAGGACAAATTCATCTCTTTTGAGATGTGCACAAGACATTAGGGACTGTTCATTATTTATGAGGGGGAAGGGGGAGGTGCAAAACAGGGTGGCTGTCAAATAATTTTTCAGCACTGGGGAGGAACTTGTGTTTTTATTTTGGCTCAGGGGAGGGGCATAAAACTTAAAATGGTTGTTTGTATTTATTATAAATATCCTCTGAACTCACAATCCCACTGGCAGGTTTGAGAGGCATCTTTTCTTTTTAAAAAAATCACCAAAATCACATAATTATCAAAGCAAGAAACTGTAAAAACAGATTTTATCTTTGGATTTTTCAATGTTTTTCCTTGATCACTCTGTTCTGTAAGTCTCATTTAATTTTGGCCAAAAATAAACCGTTTGCACTAACCACATCCTAAAAAAAACATTACATTCTGAGCACATGCATGCATAACAGTAATGAAAAACCAAGCTTTTTCTAACTCGAGGATCTTGTTTTCAGCTTTTAACTTTCAAACATCAAGGGGTAAGTTTTGAAATCTAGCTGTTTGCTTGTTGCATAGGCTCCAATACCTACATCTGTTGTGAATATTCATAAAACTATGGCTACTCATGGTGGATGGAGGGTCATGCAGGGTCATACTTTTCACAAATTACTCTATAGTGAAAACAGTACATAAACAAAAACACAATACCAAAGTGAGAAAACAAGACAAAAGAATAATAGATAAAAGCATTGTTATGACAAAATCATAGGTATAATCTATCAAATACTAACTTCAGTCTCAGTATTATTTGTGTGAGGAGATCAACAACCCATGTGTACGTGTCCACAAAAAAAGATTTGTAATCCCACAAAAATATTTTGCAAATATAAAACAGATTTGCAGAGACACACAAGCAAATTCCAAAATTAAAAAAAAAAGACTCAGTGTGTGTAAAATGCAAATTAGCAAGTGCAGAATTGAGATTCACAAATATGTTTTCAACAGTTGTAAATGTTAAGAAGATAGTTAAAAACTTTTTTCATTTATTTGTAAATTATTTAAATGTATTCACAGATATTTTTTTACGCTTTGGAATTTGTTTATTTGCAGCTTGCAAAATGGTTTTGTGAGTTTACAAACCTCTCTTCTATTTGTGGAAGGTGTTGGGTGCTGGGGGAAGGTGGTAAATTTTTATTAACACACGGATTGTGGATCTGTTCACACAAATGACAGTAATATAATAATAACAATACTGAGACAAATCTGCAAGCAGATTAGAGTAATAATTCGTTTAAAAAAAAGGAGGTAAAAAAGATATCAGAGGCCAATTAAGAGTAAATATGTTAACAATGTTATGGTCTGGATTGAGTCTAACCTTCAAACAGTACCATAACCTGACTGTCACAACCTGGCAACCTGACACTCTGCCTCTACTAAATAAAACATATCACCCAGAGTCACTTTACAAAGTTATAATGTTCATACTAAATACTCTGATTTGTCCGGCTGATCAGAAACACAGCATGAGACGTTTGGATTCACCCTGATCTGTAACCAACATGGAGATTAATATTCAGTACGGGACTTTGCAGTTTAGTTAGATCATGTTTTATTAAAGATCACATCTAAAATGTTAAAGGGCTGAATCTGCTTTTTAAGTAAGCTTGTACTCAGATGTCTGACTGCTCATATATTCATTAGTGTTGAATATGAGTGAGGATAACACAGGCCTTTCTGCATGAAACACTGTGTTTACTTCTGACATTTATTAGTTTATTTTGTGTGTGACACTCTTTATTTGACTTAAGTATTATGTCTATTATTGAGGGTTATTATACCAAGAGTCGTATGACTCATACGAGAACACACAATGTAGAAAATGAACAACCTAGTGTTAACGAGAGGATTAAAGGAATACTTATCATTTGTATATCAATTACTCACCCCATGTTACCTTGAATTTGTGAAGA